TTCATGTTGACATAGGCGTTGGCTCCCTCGGGGAGGACCACCACCCCAGGTCCCGTCCAGCATGCTCGGCGTACTCCTTGTGCCCGCCATGTGCGCCAGACGAAGACGATGTCCCCTGGGCGAAAGGTCTTAGTGGTCCTCGGCCTGGCCCGAAGCGCGCGGCGGATGGCCTCCGAGTTGTTCACCTCGGCGAACGCCTTTTGTGCCGCCGTTCTTGCCGCCACTTTCTTCTGGATCTCCGTGCCATCGCCAAGGAGAGCCGACTTCACCAGCTCGTCCGAAAGCAGCTCGCCCGTAGTCTTCGGGGTCTCGCCAATCATTCGCTGAGCTGGTGAGTATCCGGAACGGTCCGAGAGCCTATTCTTGGCGCTCTCCACCTCCCTCAGGAGGATCTTGTACTCGTCGGCGTTGGCAGGAGGGTTCATCCACTTGGCGCGCTGCAGCATGGCCTTGTACAACCCTCCATGCCTCTCCGCCCTCGAGTTTTGTTGTGGTGCCCTTGCCCCTATGACATGAAGCACCACCCCCATCTGCGCACAACGGTCGCGGAAGTCGCTGAGAAACTCGGTCCCCTGGTCCACCAGGATCATCTGCGGGAACCCGAAAACTCGCGCCCAACTTTTCACAAAGGCGTGCCAGACCGCCAGGGGAGTTTTCGCCCGAACTTTCTCTAGCAGCTGATAATTGGTACCCAGGCAGATCATGTTGAGGAACTTCTCGGTCTCTGCCCCGTTCCAGCTCGGGAGGTCGATCAGGTCAATCGCCATGGCGGTGTTCGGAGAGAAGTTTCTCGGCACCGCGGCGGGCCGATGCGTCTTTGGCAGCACACCGGACTCGCATGTGGGGCATCGGAACTCCTGCTTCACCCACTTCCAGGAATACTCGGGCGCACCGCCGACTCGGAGCACCCTTGCCAGTGTAGACTTGTCGGGGTGGCCCAGGTTGCGGTGAAGCTTCATGATGCCCTCCTTCTCGCGGTCCGTGGGCTGCCTCACCTGCGGCTGCTCGCCCGCCTGGTCTGGCTCCTCCGGGCCCGCGTCGGGAACCGGCTCGTCGAACTCCAGCTGCTCGAGGTTATCCAAGTCGATGGGAAAAGCCTCGGTGAAAGAAGCGGCGGTGCGGGCAGCACCTTTGCCTGGATTGGCCATGTGGTAGCGCTCGGTATCCGTGAGGTTGGTAATCAACCCCTTTTTCCGATAGAGAAGCTGCGCCGCCGAGCTCTTGACAGTGTGTTTGCGCAGCTCGGCCAGGCTTTCTCGCCGGACTCCGGGCGGAACCTTCAAAGTAAAAGGCCCGCCCTGTCTCCACTGGGCCCGGGCCAGGCGGCATGCATGGTCCGCCTGCTCGCCCTTGGCTGCCTGGAGCTCGAGTAGCTCCTCGCCTCTCTTTTCCCAAGCGGCCCATTCACTGGCCCTCTCTTCGCTCGAGGCGGCCGTGCCCAAAATGGGTCGTGGCTCCACCTCCTTTTGGCCTTGAGCGGTCAGGTGCTTCGTCTGCGCCACGAGGCTCTCAAAGTAGATCTCGTCACCCCCCGGGGCGCCGTCGGCCAGGTCCAGCAACGTCGCCGCCGGCTCGTCCAGCACCAGGAAGATCTCCTGCGCATCGCAGTCGAGGGTGCTGTGTTCGCCGCGGTCCCTTCTCTCAAAGCCGGCCTCGGTGGAGATCACAACAAAGTCCTCCACAGCCGGGGCCCTTTCGCGAAGCCACCGTTCCAACATGGTTTGCGTGGCCCGCTTCAGGACCCTGGTGCCGACTTGGCACCTGAGTTCCACTCCGTCCCCTTTTAGGCCCTCAGCAGCAACGACGCTATCTGGGACCTCTGCGCCATCATGTTCTGGTAGTAGATCACGATCTGCTTCGCGGCGGTCCGGTAGTTCTCCGCCGCTGTCGCCCACTCGGCCCGGGTCTCGGTCGTCGGGAAATGGTTGCTCTTGAAGCGGGTCTCCTGCTCGATCGCCCGGAGCCGCTGGTACTCCCGAACTACCTGCACGGCTTCTCGCCGAAGGTCGTCGTTCATACTCGGGGCCGCCATCTCCAGGGAGGCTGCCGCTTCCTCCGCGAGGGTAAAGTCCAGGGTGTTGCCCGTCAGCAGCTCGACCTGGCTCTCGGCGAGCTCCAGCTTCTCCTGCTGGTCGGCAATCACCTTGAGGAACTCGTCGGCGGAGGGCTCCATCGCGCCCTCGGTCTTGGCTTGCCTCTTGCTCGGCTTGGCCTTGGCCTTCGAGGTCACCACAGTGGGAACCGTCGTGGTCTCCAGCTCCCGCCCGGTCACCTTGGCTGCCGACCTCGGTGACACCTTCCATCGGGAATGACACTGGGCACAATGTATCCAATTGGCGTGGCCATTCCCTCCTCCTTTGAGAAACCTCGCCTCGTGAGGGCAGGTCTCCGGGCTTTGTGGCGGAATCCCCTTGATCGGCGCCATCTTCTCGGGGTTGCGCTGCTGAAGGTAGCCCTTGTAGAAGCTGGCCTTCTGCGTGGGGGCCAGCGTAGTCACCTGCTCCTGGTCGCCACTGCCGCTCGGCGCCGAGGGCAGGCACGCACCGCTCATGAACTGCGAAGCCAGGGTATGATAGTGACCCCAGCGCAGCAAGCAATAGAGCTTGTCGAAGACCACCCGCCAGTTTCGTAGTGCCAGCCTTTCGCGGTTTACCACTCGCCGTCCTGCCGCCGGTGGCGGTCGTCGGGTTTCCTGCTGCAGGGCGAGCGACGCGAGCATGGCCGAAGAGAGCGCAAGGCACAGGGTTGCACATGAGATCGTTCTCCTTGATCCCGGGCTGCCGGTGCACGGGAACTGCTCTGAACTGCTGTTCGGTTCGCACACCTACGCATGCCGAGGGAAGCTGCCAACCTGTGCTGCCGAACTCAAGCACCGAAACGGCAGGGTGACCACTAGGGAGAGCTTGCATGGGCATGTCCGCAGAGACGGCGGTCAGAGATAGCACCTCCCGGGGAAAGTCGAGCACCGCCCCCAACGCCCTGAGAAGCGAAACGGGGAGAAGGAGCGGCACGTCCTCCGCGACAACCGTGGCCTCCAGCACCCCGCTCACCCCAGCCAAGCCCACCGGCAGCTCCACCACCCCAACCGTTTTGGCCGCGCCCCCAATGCCGCGGGCTGCGGCCGGCTTGTCCAACCACAAGCAACGAAGGCCTTGTGCGCGAAGCGCTTCACAAAGACGAAGAAGAGCTGGCTTGCCTATCAACCCTTCCTGCGCACAAGTGTCCACTAGGGCCTGGTGGTCTGCAGTGGCAACGCCTATGAACGCGCACTCTGAGGAGACTTGCTCGACGCCCTTGTTTTCACAGAGCGCCCTGGCCTGTCCAAAGGTAAAGAAGGTGGCCGAGTCCCTTCGCTTTGGGGAGTCCGCTGCCCAATAGAAGCTTGTACTGGAGCGGCTGGTCGAAGACGCACCGGTGTGGCTGGAGGTGCTCTGCGGGGCGTTTCGGCACTCCTTTGACCAGTGCCCCACCTGCCTGCAGTTGCGACAGCGAGTGCGAAGCTTGAGCTGCTCGATGTGCACTCGCCGGGACTCTGCCGACTGAGCGCCGCCCTTCTTGCCTTTCCCGGCCTGGTAGCCCGAAGCTTTGCCGCCAAAGCCCTTGCCGAACTTGCCGGTGCCTTTGGAGTCCAGGGGCGGCGGTCGCCGGAACTTCCTGCCCAGCCGCGTGTCCTTCAAGTGCTGGCGCACCTGCTGGTAGGTAGCAAGCGCCTCCATCACCTCGTCCTCGTCCATCACTTCTGCAAGCTCGCCCTCGTTCAGGTAGACAAAGTCCTCGCCCGAATCTTCCTCGGGGCCGTCGTAGAGGAAGGCCTCGTGCTCCTCCAGGGGGCCTGCCTCTTCGCCGTCCTGGTCCCCAAAGTCCGCAAGGAACATCTTCTTCGAGCCTTCCTGGTGCACTCGCTCGAGCCGCCGAAGGTTAGCGACCACGTTGTCCCGGGAGAAGTCGCCGGCCAGCCAGGTGGTCAGCCTAGATTCCAGCTCGGAGTCCAGGTTGGCCTGGCGGAACAGCAAGTACCCCGCGGCCTTGCTCGGTAAGTCCACGCCCTCGTCCTTGAGAAGTGCTTGCGCATTGCCGGCCCGGATCAGGTAATCGGCCAGGCTTTCTTTATGATGCCTGGGCGCTCCGAAGAAGACCTGCTCCATGGCCCGCGGCAACGCAGTCTCCACGTAGGGCTCGAAGGCGTCTTTGAGGGCCTTCAGCACCGCCTTGTAGCCGTCGGGGCCCTTGATGCTCGACACCGGCAGGGCGTCTACGGCCGCTTTGGCTGGCCCCTTCAAGCCTTGGACTAGTTTGACCCCCTGCTTCTCCGCCGGGATATCGGTCGAGGCTTGCCATAATTCCAAGTCCCTGAGGAAAGGGCGAAACGTGCTCTGAGGGTTCTCTCCGCCATAGCTGGGCGGAGGGTCTCGGTCGCGGAACACCCATCCGCCATCACCGCCTGAAGCTTCCACCATCGGGCTCGCCTCCAAGCGTCAGCTGCGCCAGGCCCCTCCAAAGAGCCTGCCGTAGACGACGCCCCGGATCGGGTAACCGCGGCGCACGTCTTCCAGGGCCTTGCGGTAGTCGAGAAGGGCGCCGGGCTCGCCGAGGCAGCCGCCTCGAAGATCTCCTCCTTCTCGCCGTCACGGCCCAGCCGCGGGAACCTCTAACCAGAGGCTCCGCTGCCAACTGACGACAGCGGAGTAAAACGGAGCTTTCCAAGCGTACTCTTTTCCTATGGCTGCAAAACGGTAGCTAAAGGTCTCAAGGGGCCCCTGGTGAGCCAAAAGCGAACCACCGAGGTGAGCAAAGGTCAAGCCAGTCTGTACGAGGGAGCCATTACACACATGCGACAGTGAAACACCTACCAGTAACATGCAGGGGCCACAACAAAGCAGTGCAAGAGTGGTGACCTTCGGCCGCCCTGACTTGCGAAGCCCGGAGTTCTAACATCGCACGCTTCGTGAGACTCCTGCAAACGAAGCGGAATGGGATGAAGAAGGAGAGCAGCCAGCTGTCTAGCGAACCTGGCAACGCACCAAGCAACGGCAGTGCGGAAGAAGCACAGCTTACCGCAAGGTCTTCCCCTGCCCCTGGTCCACTGGTATCTTGCCAGCTGCCATACAACCCCCTCATCCGGCCCCTGAACCCTCAAGCCTGAACCAACAACCCAAAAACAAGCCTAAAGAAACTGTCAAGCCACACCAAAAAAACGCAAATTCAAGAAAACAAAGACGCTCAAATCCCACCTCTGTGGCAGAGGCGGGCCTCGTCTTCGCCTCCGCCTTGCATTATTAAAATACTATAGTATTATAGTGCTATATAGTATTATAGTACTGTAGCACAATAGTCTAATAGTCTTACAGTACTATAATAATATAGTATTGTAGTATTCGCATATGCCCCACACGCGCCAGCGACAACACTAAAGATTTTAGAGCTTCGAGTTGAAAGCTCTCAGGGTTTTTTCAGGGTTCAGGGATTAGTTTAGGGATTGAGGGAAAAGCCCTGCTAAGCAGAGTATGCCCAGGGGGTCTGTAGGGGGCCTCATTCACCACTGGCTGGTCTTTGTTTTATGAGGGTCTCAGAACACAGAGTACCCCACTTTCCCCTTGATTAGGGGGACTTTCCGAGTTTCTTATGACTTTAGGAGCTTCTTTCTTATGACTTTAGGAGTTTCTTATAGGCCCTGTATGATTCGCGGAGTTCAGAGCCCTGGGCCTCCGCACTTTGAGCCTTAACGTAGCCGAGTGATTTAAAGGCACCCCCAGTCGGTTTGTTCTCAGTAAGCTAAAACTCCAAGCCCAACAATGATATTGAAGCCCAAACCCGGAAAACCCTAAACCCTAAACCCTAAAGTTTAGGGCTGCAAACCCGGCATCCTGAAATCCGGCCCTTGCCACACCAAAGCCAGAATCCTGGCGTCCCTGACTTCAAAACGCATTGAAGTCTTGAACCCTCCACGCCTGAGCCAACCCTCAAACCTCAGTTCTTCAAGCCTACAAGCCTACAATCCTTCAAGAACTTGGCTGCAGTACAGCCTGAGACGCTTAAGCCCTAAAAATCAAGCTCGCGTACCTTTCGGCAGCCAACCTCGATACCCTAAATCTCAGAACCGCCCGAACTCCAAAATTCCGAAACGCCGGAACTCCCGAAAACCCCCAAAAAAACCCTCAAGACCCTCAACCCCCGAAAACACCGGAACCCAAAGGCCCCTCAGGCTGCTCGCCTGAAGGCCTCTACACTTCTCTGAACCCTGACAGAGCCCTGCGACCCTGAAGATACATGTCCCAAAACACTGCAACTCCACAAACTGAATTCTATACATATTTATATATATATACATACATATATATATATATATATACATATACGCGTGTGTGTGTGT